CCGCTGATGCTGGCGGTGGAAACCGGATGCGCGGAGTGCGTGGGGCGTTTGTTGCAGCACGGGGCGGACGTCAACATGGCGGACGACTGCCGGGACACGGCCTTGCACTTTGCGGCGGCGCGCGGGCGTGCGGACGCGCTGCGGGGGATGTTGGAGGCCGGAGGGAGCGCCAACGCCAGAGCGGAGGACGGGAACACGCCGATGACGCGTGCGGCGCGCGAGAGGCAGTGGGAGTGTGTGGGAGTGTTGCTGGGGAGCGGGGGGGACGTTAATGCAGCGAACGATAACGGGGACACCGCCCTCCATTACGCCGCGAAAGCCGGGAATTTGAAAGCGGTCGAAGAGTTGTTACTGGCTGGGGCTTCTGTTCAAGCCACAAATGCCGAAGGGAAGACACCGCTGGCACTGGCGATGTTTTCTGGGTATACCAAATGTATCGAGCGTTTGCTTCTGGCGGAGGAGATGTAAGTGGCAACGGGAATATTGCTCTCCATTGCGCTGCTAAAGCCAGGCACTTCAAAGCTCTTCAAGACCTCTTGGAGGCTGTGGCTTCTGTTCGAGCCACAAATGCAGAAGGGAAGACACCGCTGGCACTGGCGATGTTTTCTGGGTATACCAAATGTATCGAGCGTTTGCTTTTGGCGGAGGAGATGTAAATGGCAACGGGAATATTGCTCTCCATTGCGCTGCTAAACCCAGGCACTTGAAAGCTTTTCAAGACCTCTTGGAGGCTGGGGCTTCTGTTCAAACCACAAATTCAGAAGGGATGACACCGCTGGCGAGGAGATGTAAATGGCAACGGGAATTTTGCTCTCCATTGCACTGCTAATGCCAGGCACTTCAATGCTCTTTAAGACCTGGCGATGTTTTCTGGGTATACCAAATATATCGAGTGGTTGCTTCTGGCAGAGGAGATGCAAATGAAACATCTTCAGTGAAGATACTATTCTCCATTATACCGCTAAAGCGTGCGCAGGAAATGATCTTGAGATTTCTAGCGATGCCTTTCCCTGCCATGCTGTTGAATGGTGTTCGTGTTGTTTTGTGGCTCGAATTATTTGTTTGTCCCGTGTTCTTTGAGTGTTGACTTGCGATGGTAACTATTACGAATGATCATAAAACTGTTTTTGCCGTTAATAATTGTTATATATCCAGGAATCGCGCAGGTAATCCTGGAAAAAAGTTTGAAACAAACTCCATTTTACTGTTCCTTTAATGAAGCCATCGAGAAATAACCAACAATCCAAAAGTAATGATCTACAAACAAAGTTAGTAACTGTCAGAAGATATGCCTCGGAATGCACTAGGCACCAAAAATCCACTCAGCGTTGTCTATACACTATGCCACAAGACGTAAAGAGGCAAGTCATTAATCACACGGAGCTCTTAACACGTCCACCACCCTCACAGTTTGACTCTCCCGTTCTCTACTCGGAAGGAGGGGCGTTATATGAGTGGTTCAGAGCTGCCGAACCCACGAAGGTGTGAAGTACCTAGGAAGTGTAGCTTTGAATGATGCTCTGTTAGTGCCATAATTCTCTATCCATGTGAATGAATTAATAAATGAATGAATGAATGAATGGGCTCAAATCGTTTGAGCCAATGAACCATTCATTTATTCTTTCTCAAGAATTAAAAAGTTTTGTACTTATACAAATGAGAATTCAGAGCCATGCTGTAGAGGAAACGTGCCTTGACAACCTAATAGGTTAGGCAGCTCTGGCACTGTTCGACTCGTATATCCCCCAAGCTACCCTTCCGAAATATTCGAATCCCCTCAGCTGCCCGTACTTTTCGCGTCGTTTCCGCTTCGCCGGCCGCTGCGCCTCCTCAACTGATGTCTCTGATCGGGAGGTCCTAGGTTCAAGTTCCGACGAAAGCAGAATTTTCGACACTAGCCAGATACTGAGTTGAGTTCAGTCGTCTGGTGGAGAATTCTAGCGTTCGGCTGCTCTGATCGGTAGTTTTCCGTGGTTTCTCCGAACAACACCAGGTGTTTGCTGGATCAGTACCCTATAAAAGGGTCACGGACCGAGCGCGAACTTTCCTTCCCATTCCCTGTCCTACCCTACCCCTTACTTACACTCTCAAGCACTACACTACCACACTTGCGGGAGATCCGGTCCGGAGCTTAGAGCTTGTCTCGGCTGGAACGGTGCCCCGCTGGCGGGAGATAGCCGACGGTAGGTCGGCGCCGGATCTCGCCATTCACAGGGAAGATCACCACTCTCCAGGAAAAACAGGCACTACACTTACGGAACCAATGACATTGGCGGCGGCGATGTTAAACGGTTAGCGTATCGAACTGTTGTACCCAAGTTCGCGGGTTGAAACCCGATCGAAGCCGTGCATTTTTAAAGGAGAAAAATTCGTTCGTACGCCTTCCTTTGGTGGGGAAGTAAAGCCGGCTGTCCCATGTTCGTAGATTTACTGCATGTAAAAGATCCCCAAGCTAAATTGAAGTCTAATTGAGCTAAATTCAAATCGCCTGTTTCATCGCCCAATAAATACCTCCTTTCTCCGCTAGTTGGTGAAAGGAGCATAGCGTGGTAAGATGGAAGAGTGGGCCTGATGACTTGAGTCTCGCCACGTAAAATAAGACAACAATGCAATTCAATTAGCAGTTGACGCGCCAGGAACCACTATCAATTAATCAATCGACTGTGAAAGTAGGGGCGGTGGTCACTACTGGCACCGCTCCTTTACAGTTTGGTCACCCGGCTGGACCATGATGGAAAGATGTGGGTGAGCAACTGCGCATTGCATCCAACTTAAGCCAGTGAGCTTCGGGCACCAGTTTGCGTCACAATATTAGCGGGAATTTTAAATGCCAACATTATCACCTTGTTACAAGTCATTGAAACAGATATAAGAGTATGAAGCACTTGTCATAAAAATTGTATCTTGTACACCATCGTTTTTTTTGGTTAGTCACCGTTGAAATTTCTCACTTTTTGGCACTTTCAAAGTTTTTTCAACACTGCGCATGGTCCGCATGTCGGCCAGCGTCTGGTCTGACTATTCAGACGAAGTGCCCTTACTGTAGTCACGTGGTTCGTGACGCAAACTGATGCTGCGCAGAAAGGGGCAAAAATCGGTACGGAGGAAGCTCACCCATATCGTTCCACCATGGGCCTTACACTGTCGCTTGATCTGCCCTTGGTGGCGCCTCCCGGACTACACCCATTCAAGACGTGCGTGGCACGCCAGACGTAGTTCTCGGCCCCTCAGTGAGCCACATCTCCCCACCCGCATGGCACCCAGTGTGCCCCCTGTCCCTCTTTCCTGGGCATAAATGCTGTGCACAAAGCAATAATGAATGTCATCGAAATATCACTTCATTCCTACAAAAAAAATATTGGATTTCTGGACCTGTATAATATTTCATGGAATACCTGGTCGTAAAAGTCGAAACCCATAACATTGCTCACCTTAAATGTATGTATGTATTTTCTATATGAGGTCGGATAAATCCGATCTGTGCCAGCTAGTGATGTTCCCAAGACTGGGTTGTTTTTATTTCTTGTGACGAACAAAATGTAATCCCTTCAACGTATATAGCATACGTGTCCTGTGTGAGCTTTTTCTTTCGTCACACAGCTATAAAAATCTGAGAAAGCTAAAGCTTTTTTTGGCCTGGCCTGTTATGAAACCCCGGACCGCCTCACAGAAACCTGTAATGTATTGTAATTAAATTGTTTCGGAGTTTGAATGGGAGAACCCAAATTTCATTCATGAAAACAATCAATTTCATTCCTGTGTAAATACAGCAAGAAAGGACGTTTTTAAGATTGCAAGAATACCGCCAAAGAAGTGTATGACCGTCTATGTGAAAGTCAATCGTCTCCCAGAAAATCTGGTATCATGAAGAACAATTACATCAATTGCGTATCATTAATCCGTTGACTGCTGTGTCCTTTCTAATCCAGTTGACCCTAATGATTAGTGATGCAAAAAAGGTTTACAAGATTGAATACTGACCCTTCTCGTAATTCAAAATCCAT